GGGTTTGGGGGGGTCTGGGGGTGCCCAGAGGGCGGTTTGGGGTGTCCAGGGGGGTTTTGGGGTGCCTGGAGGGCATTTGGGGTGCTTCGGGTAGGGTTTGGGGTGGTTTTGGGGGTGCCCAGGGGGGTTTTGGATGCTTTGGGTGGGTTTGGGTGTGCCCGGGGGGGGTTTGGGGTACTTCAGGTGGGTTTGGGGTGCTTCGGGTGGTTTTGGAGTCACCCCAGTTGGTTTGGAAGCTCCCCCAGGTGGTTTTGGGGTCCTTTGGGTAGTTTTGGGACCTCCTTCGGGTGGGTTTGGGTTTCTTGGGTAGTTCTGGGGTCCCTCGGGTGGTTTGGGAGCTCCCCCGGGTGGTTCTGGGGCCCTTTGGGTGGGTTTAGGGGTGCTTAGGGTGGGTTTAGGGTCCCTCAGGTGATTCTGGAGTCACCCCGGTTGGTTCTGGGTCCCTTGGGTGGTTTTGGAGTCCCTCGGGTGGTTTTGGGGTCCTTTGGTTGGTTTGGGAGCTCCCCTGGGTGGTTTTGGGGTCCTTCGGGTGGGTTTGGGGTCCCTCAGGTGATTTTGGAGTCACCCCGGTTGGTTGGGGAGTCCCCTGGGGTGGTTTTGGAGTCCTTTGGGTGGTTTTGGGGTCCTTTGGTTGGTTTTGGGGTCCTTCGGGTGGTTTTGGGGTCCTTTGGGTGGTTTTGGGATGCTGACGGCTGTTTTGGGGTCTCTGGGGCAGTTTTAGGGGTTTCTGCGATGGTTTTGGGGGTCTCTGGGCTGGTTTTGGGGCTCTCACAGCCGTTTTGGGGTCTTTGGGGCGGCTTTAGGGGTTTCTGTGATGGTTTTGGGGGTCTCTGGGCTGGTTTTGGGGCCTTCATGGGCAGTTTTGGGGCCCTTGCGGCCGTTTTGGGGTCTCTGGGCTGGTTTTTGGAGCCTTCACGGGTGGTTTTGGGGCGCTCACAGCCGTTTTGGGGTCTCTGGGCTGGTTTTTGGAGCCTTCACGGGTGGTTTTGGGGCGCTCACAGCCGTTTTGGGGTCTCTGGGCTGGTTTTGGGGCACTCACAGCCGTTTTGGGGGTCTCTGGGCTGGTTTTGGGGCCCTCACGGCCGTTTTGGGGGTCTCTGGGCTGGTTTTGGGGCCCTCACGGCCGTTTTGGGG